AACCATCTCATCTTTGTACAACATCTTTGCTTACTCATGCTTGTTTGATCCCTCAGTGACTCATTTCGATCGCCTAGTTAGGGAATCAGTCAACTTGGAGTTTGAAGTATTCTTGTGAAAGAATACCATCCCTTTGCCAGTACTGCGGTGGATCCCGTTAAATCAAATTTCATAGAAATGGTTCCGAGATCCAGTTCAAACATGGTTAACCAGTGCGTGAGATAGAGAGATGGGTTAAGACATCTCATACGTGCTTTCGTTCTTTCTTTCCCGTATAGAACTTGTATACAGTATATTTATTCGCATCGTAGCAATATATACTCCTTGTCTTTTTCCCGGGTTTTTTGTCCGGTTGAGCTCGTTGGGTTCGCAATGTGATGTCAAGGCTTCCAAAACGGTGTCAGTACACAATCACCGATGTAGCCATTCTATTCGTCGTTTGTCCCAGCGATGCCTCAAATCCGTTAAAGTTAGATAACAATAGTCAGCCGTTATTTTGGATCTTTTCGACTTTGTGCTTCCCAACTATAGCAGCAAGAACTTTGACCAGTTATTTGACTATGATGGCACAGGTAGATTTGATATACTGTCAGTTGCATAATTTTGATGGTTTGAAGGTACAACATGCGTCAGAGTATTGCCTTTTTTCGTTAGTCACACGTGTCCTTATGTCGTGTTTCATAGGGATGGCATGTGAACACTTTGTAACACTTCGCTCATTCAGCACTATAAAGTGAACTGTGAGTTGGCCTGTGAAACAAATCATTCACTTGCACCCTGAGGCGCATTGAATAATAGATCACTCCCGCTGATCGCATCTCGCTGCAACAATCTTCAATTTGTTTCATTAATGACCGAACATATAGACTCGTTTGAATTCTTCCACTGTTTCCATTGTGGACCAGTGCTTTTCGTAATAAATCCATACTGTTTCTTGCTTTCCACTCTTCATTCGAACCGCTCCCTTCCATGGTCTTGTGGCAGTTAAGCACTAAAATCTGAAGCCTGTCACAGGTGCCTGTTTGGTTGATATTCAACAGATAGAGCTATCTATCCTGACGTAATACATAGAGGTCGATAATGGATCTTTGATTTTTTTAACTGAGCGAGCACCATTCCTAAATGATTTCGTATTATTCTCCAGGTAGGTTGCCCATCTTTGGCGAACAAACTACTTTCCTGTCTAATTCTTTCGAAATTCATGTAATGTAGTGCAATCTCTTCACATTCTCTGGGCAACCCAATAAGTATCTGATAAAATTAAATTACAGTGAACGAAATGTATTGTCACCGCAGCTATTCGGCCGACAGATTTCCACAACAAACACAACGTTCTGTCTGTTCAAATTTTACTCATCCTGTTGTCATATCCAACAATAGTAGTCCTTACTGATTCGTCGAATGGTTCTCTGGTGGTCCGGATAATGCAAGTTTGGAACGGGTTTTACATTCGTGCAGGTGATGACTATCATGCATGCTATTCAAAGATTTCTTCTAGTTCAACAGTGTGATGGAAATCGTTTTCCGAAAGGAGAACTTTTGATGACAATCATAATCACTGTCATAATCACAGCCCTTATAAGCACCCCAATGAGATCCTCTACGAAAAAAAGTGACGGCCCGATGCGTTCCCCCTGTTTGTGAGACACTGTAATGTGCGTAAATTGAGGGGACTGGCCAGATTTCGAAGGTGTGGGGCGTAAGAGTGAAGCTATGTGGTTTGTCTGATTCCGATAGCCCCTATGACGGAGTAAATACTGAGGCGAACCAAAGTTCCATGAGTGTGTTTCTCAAAGTTCCATTAGTCTGTTGCCCTAAGATGCAGTCAGCTAACAAAACATTTCATGACCGGAGAATTTGGTCTTGTAGTATTATGCAACACCCACAGAACGTCCACTCTCTGAATAGAGTATACTCTGGCAGTAGTTTCTGTGGTGGCCGCATGTCAAATGACTGCCACACAAACTACCTCCTACCTCATATGCAGTCAAAAATTCTTTATATTTAATTGCATATTCCTAGTTGTATGTGCTCATAATACCAGGATTTTTACATTTCATCTGTATCTTTTCAGATCCCCAGGATATTTGACTTCTTCGGGAAGAATGGAGGAACTTCATGTGAGTTCTTATATGCAATAATTCAACACAGGAAACCTGCTAATCATGTATTCATTAATTGCGTGTTTATAGCAGCACGTTGCTGATTGTGTCATCCTTTTCCGGATTCTATGGTGCCTAGACACCATGTTCTTCTCTATAGTGCAACTGTTTCTCTACCTTGGTCAACTTTCCCCCTTCCAGGCAGGGTTAATCTGCTGTCATTCAAGCGGGGTGTAGACATTGAACTCACATATCGGGTGACAAAGCATCATCGAGCAATTACCTGATCAGTTAGCGGTTTCCATCGGTAACTTTGGGCAGAAATTGGTCCAAGCTTTGTTTCCCAAGTCACTTGAATTTCGTGGGGCTTCATTTGTGCACCATGACACTTCGCTTAGTTCGGCCTTGGCGCCTCTACGTGCTCTTACATGGGTGATTAGTCCAGTTAATTACCCCTAACACCCTTCTACTCAGAAAACAATCTGTTTATCGCCCACTTCTCATCCAGGTATTGTATACCAAGTAACCACTCTTTTGTGACCTTTCGTGGCTAATGTATTTTTCGGTTATCACTGTAGAAAAGCCATCGATAAATAATAGCTTGTCTGTCGGCACAGTGTTTTTTTTTATTTGAAACTCTCCCTGAACTGACCAATTACTTTCATATTGCTTTCGGTGTCACAGTTACATCCATGTTCCTCATTGTTGGTTGATTCCCATTTGAATACTATTGGGTGTAACCGCTCGAGCTTATAAACATCGCCAGTACAATAGTTAAAAGTTCCATCGCTTCTATTCGTGACCGTATTCTCATACAAACCTTTTTGAGTGTGTAGGTTTCCTACCATGGAGCCTTCGAGTTTGCATGTTCTACTGTCTTTGATCGTTGGCAGCTTTACACCTGTCATTCGGCGCGTCCTCTCGTGAATACGGTGCACCGTTTTTCTTGTTGCAGTAACTTGTTCGTATACGTTCAAACGTCACGCCACTTTCCCATTATTCTTTCATCACTCAGGAGACATTTTATACTCGGCGTTGTAAACTAGTGTTACAATTTACCCATATTTCATCGGATAAGATACATGTACCCTACATTGTCGGTTCTTTACAACGAGGGCGCTGGTTGCTGACCAACAGCCTGAAGTTGACTAGATGTTTCAATTATCGAAAGCTTATTTTGCCTCATTCGGACTGTAGTAACTGTATTATTTGGATGAATATTCTATGGCATTTGCTTAGACTGATTTCCTGCTCGAACACTATAATAGCAACTAACAGGCGCGCCCATTTGAATGGTTTACGCAAAAACATTCTACAGCAGTACTCCTCCCGGCCTAATCGGACGTACTAGAAGGGTGAACGCAGCAGGGTTTGTTGTAGCTCAACTGTTGTTTAGGTATTTCTATGTACCCCGACAGAACGCTGAACCCATTCTCTAATTTTAAGAAGAGTTGTAGAGAGAGTGCTGTGCTATGACAGCTATACCCTTGACCATATCATAGTAGAACACTCAAAAGCGGCCTTTGTGGAAGGGCATGATGAGTCCAGAGTAGGATGACGTTGGTAGACCACTGTAGTGCACATACACGACAACCAGTGTCGACTTGAAGGTGCACCAACCCGCTCGGATAGAGCTATATGGGTGTGAAAGGCCACAATTGGTCGACATGCTGATGCATGAGTATAATGGCATTGACCAGAAGATTCTACTTGGCGTTCCATACTTGGCAACAAACCTTTGCACATATTTGTATGTTTTTTCTGCACAGGCCTGGTTAGGCTCCAAGCCGACCGTCCTCCAATGTGCCTGGAATCGCTGGGTTTACTACTGATGAATTTTCGCTTATTTACCCGTACTCGGCTCCATTCCAGCATACGATAGTAGGCTGAGTTATATTTAAAGGACGCGCATAGTCACCGTCTACCGATGTTCTCGGCCTGTGCAGCCAACAGTTCGAATCATGGTACTTTGGTGTGGATTGGTACCTTCATCACACCCTATCATAAGTTCGTATGAATCTCTGGGGCGTCTTCGGTTTATTTGTGACTCCCCAACAGTCGAATTGGCGAACTTGGTAAATAATGATGTCTATTGCTCATTCGTCTACCGATGCTTGCTGGCTACCTATACCAGTTTTTTCCTAAGTGTAAATCGACCGATTCCCATGAGTACATGAATCATCAATCATACTCCTGATCGTTAGCCTGATTCCGCGTAAAAACTAGAATTTCGAGCATGCATATGAATTAAGCACCAACATTTACGCATTTCTGCGCTGTTGGGTACTAATATATCTTGTCTGCCACTTACACTTTTAGTATTCAAAGTTCCCTTCCCAACCGATCCTCGATTGGCGAGTTACTTCCTCCCAGGATATCCTGCGGCAATTGCCGCAGCCATGGCAGCTGTTAACGCAGCCTCCGCCGCATCAACCTCTCCAAGCGGTCTGACACATTCATCATTCTCGAGGTCCAATAGTGAAACTCCTGGTTTTACCACTTCACATTCACCGTGGCTCGGAAACACCGCACCCACCATCAGTCATCCTTCCTTGTGGCCCACAACTACCAGCAACCTTACCGGTGTCAGTGGCAGTGGAACTGCAACTGGTGGTTGCTCTTCGGCATCTTCGGGCTACGCCAGCTCCGAAGGAAGCAATGGCACAGGTGGCTGGTTTCACTCGGCTGTCTCACCCAGTGGATTTAATTTTTCCCAGTACTACCCTTACAATACCGCCCAGGGAACAGGTTCTCATCCGCCACCATCACGATTCCCTACCCACCTTCCAGGACGACCTGGAGACACGAACCCAGAGACCACCACATTCACCTGCTCTCAAGCACATTCCAATTATACGAGTTCCTTGGGCTTATCAACGTATGGTGGATCTGTCAAGAACTCCATGAGTCTTGTAAGTTTTTCTATCTTTCCGTCAGAGTCGAGCCGTTTGGTTTGATTTTCTATTATTTTTGTAAAGTTGAGTTCCCCAATAAGATATTTCATGTCTCTCATTGATTAGTTTGTGACGCTGATTTGCCTTTTTACTGTATGAGGCCTTTTTTCAACGTGAGCTCACTTTGGCAATGTTTCTTCTTGTGCTATGCAACATGCCACTGTCCAGTAATCGACCAGCTGAGGTTGCGGTAAAGGTGTACAATAACCCGGTGAACTCACTCTCTGTCTGATGTGTTAATACTATTCACTTCAGTATCTATTAAGGTTGCGGAAAGGTGGGGTTCATTCGGTCGTACAGATTGGGACTATCGTGTTAATCCAAAAGGCTTAATAGCCCGTCTCTCCCAGCTGTTGTACTGACCATATTGTTAGAGTTGGGATGGTACCTGTGGTAGTTATGAGCTATTTCCTTCTTTAGATATCGTTTGTAATACATTCTGAGTATGTCAGTTGCGATTCACACATGTTAAATAGCTGTCATTATCCTTCCACTCTATCTTGCGAATGATCATTCTCTAAAGTATATCGCCGGACAAATGAAATACGAATAAGTATTGTTGGTAAACGAAGAAGGACGCTGTCAACTCTTCTGAAAAGGTGTTGTGCAAATTTTTCATATTTCCGTTGTTCGCAAATGGAGGGCCGCGTATCCGAACGACAATCGCTTAAGGTTTTGGACTAGTTGTTAGCCAACAGCGTTTGGGTGGTTCTGTGATACACGATAGATCGGAATAAACGTCTCAGTCGTAATGGCCCGGTGGTTTGTGTCGATCAAACGACCGCGGTGGCGCCTGTCACTTTTCCCTAGTTTCATATTCAAACTGATGTATACTTCTTAATCCATGGGATGGGCATCGAGGCATTCACTCTGCTCATTTTGCAAAGGATGCGCAAACAAATGAGGAACCGTTGAGCGCACTTTATCACCGAGATTTGCATTTAGCAGTTGGTCACTACTGCATGCACGGGTGTGTTACATTGAGCGTTCTTGTCAAGTAAGTTATCGGACCATGGTTCAGTTTGTTGCAGACTGCTGAATGCAGATGGAACATCTGTGGACTTACCACACAAATGGAGCACACTCTGTCCACATCAACCACCAGGTCACCCTGGCTGTCATTCAGCCCAATCCATCACGAACTATAGAATCACTCACAAACTACTCGGTAACGAATTCTTGAAAAGCCTAGAGTGGTTTTCAGTGGTGTGCGCGATCATCTCTGTGCGAACGAAAATGGCACGTAACAACTTGGATATTGCACACCCAAATACTTAGTGGCTGGCGTCCTGAGTCGCATGCTTATCGTAAGACTATACCACACAGGCTTGTACAGCTTCCCTAGTCGACCTATTATATTGTTAGAATACTCCGCCTAATCTGCCATGTTTTAGTTCCACCTCATTAAACAACTGAATTCGTTTCACCTTTTGCGATTACGTTCAGTCCTACAGTAGCCTTTCCCCTCAGTGTTGTCTCCCGGGGCGTTTAGACTTCCCCTGTATACCGAACATCGTTTAACTGTGTGTACGTTTGTTGTGGCGAGTAGTTAAATAGAAGCATACCGACTTACTGTTCTTCCCTTAAATAGCTTTATTCATTGTTCCCCTTACTCATTCCACAGAGTTATTGTTTTTTCTTGAGAGTAATAAAGACTGATTTCGTTGCCCAACCACAACAGTGCTCATTAGCGAATGACAACATGATTGCGAACCACTCTTGAAGTCTATAGGCTATTGTCTTCTGTTTTTCGGTGCGTAATTAGAATGCGCGTTTGATTTTGAACCCCCCCTCATTTTGTGCTTGTTCCGTTTGTTGAGCCGCTCCTTATAATAATAATAAGTACGAATATTGTGGTTCGTTGTGCGCAATTGTCCATACTTTGGTGCTTGATTTCGAAGCTCTCGCACCAAGTTTTATGCATGTGGCCAAACGCATGCCCGTGTAACTGCTCGTCATTTCTATACGAAACGGACCAGTGGGTTTTAAAATCATCCCAATCAAACCAAACACTTGAAAAACCTCAGTTGGACACGCTTCGAAGCGATTAAGAGCAATTTATTCGGAGTCATTACTTTTCTTCACTCGTGGCTAGTCACCACATCTCTGAGTAGTCGGATGCAGATCATACACTGTCCTTTGGGTGTTATAGTGAATGCCTTGCAAATTTGATCTTCTACCCTAGGCAGAATGCATCCCTCTCGTTCTTCCTGACTTTTGATACAAGATATGATCAGTTTGATTAGTTATAGATTTCTCCTTTAAATTTTATTTAAAAATACTTCTGTGTAGCCATGCTTCGATGTTTGCAATTGAGGAAAATATTGACAGCTCAGGATGTAAAGCCGGCCGTTAGTTTGTCCACCGGGTGTAGACATCTCATCATCAATGCAATGAATTTCCACTCACAGCACACTGATTATTTCATCTTGTCTGGTGATGAGACACTTGCAACCAAATTACTCAGCTCACCGAACACACCAACGTCTTAATGTGTTCATATTACGCGATTGGAAACAGTATCAGGAGTCCTATCCAACTATGGCTTTTCAAGAGCTTACATATGCTTGAAACCTCAATATCATGCCGTGGCCTAGGAGACTGTGTGGTTAGTTATTTTTCTGATTTTCGGGATATTGTGGTATTTAGTTGATTGGAAGACTATCCAGATTTTCGCTGGCTGTCACCAGATTATTCGCAAATCAATGGGTCCGAAAGCTTTCGCCAAGTTTCTAAACATCATACCATTAAAATCGCATGCTGTCAGTTCTGTAAACGGAAACTACGAGGAACACTGACCATTAAATCTTGTCACTTCCCCAACAAATTGGTCCGACCACTTTATGGAGTTTGAAGACATCCCGGAGGTGTTACTGGTGGTCATCTAGCGGTATTTTATTCCACTGGACGTCCTATGTGGTACACAGTCATACGTGGCTTTGTCTATCGCGCCCGAAGCCCATTCTCTAAACGAACATCTTGTGGACTTCTTTGGTCAGCCTGTCAATCACACGTTTGTCACCGTTTGCATGTATTCAGTCATTTCCCTAGACCGCAGGCACACGTGCAAGGTGAAAATTGCCCAAAAAGCTCTTAGAGGACTAGTTGTGGGTGCTCTTGTTCTTTAGAGGGACATTTTACGCATCGCCACTGTTGTTGTTGTCGTTGTTATTGTTATTGTCCCTTTTGTCATTATACGATTATCCGCTTACACACTGACTGCAGAAGATGTCCGATCTGAGAGACTACAAACTGCTACTCTTTCTTCCTTCATGCATATAGAACCGTGTGAATAAGCATCTGTCACGCTATCAGAATAAATGGCGATGTTGGCTCTGGCGATGTGCGTGTGTAAGGACGCGTACCAGCAGTGGTACTCCACTTTTCATGACGTTTGACTACCTCAAGATTGCTTTGGTCCACGTGTTCCGGTTACGCACCGTTGGCGCCTGACTCACTGACTGACTGACTGATTGATGTGTCATGCGTATACATGCCAAGGTGTGGATGTTGTTGCTTGTTGCTACAACTTTTCAGGCGACCATCCCCCTCTGTTGAATTAAAAGAGGATCCCCGTCAAGCTGCATTTGTCTGTCATGAGTCACCTCCATCATGACCACCATTGCCAAGACCATCACATGTGTACCACAGAAGTTCTCATTATTGGCGGCACGAGGATAAATTCAGTTTTGTCCCAGGCTCACCGACAACATCTCGGACACATGCTGTTGTATGGTCATGCCCATTTTTTACATCCAACATTCTTCACGAATAACCAGTGCACTTCAGTAAGGTGCCGCACAGATTGCAGTGCTCCGTATGACGAAGAGAATATCAGACCCAGTTCTGCCAGGTCGTGACAGCTAACTGTTTCGATTGAATTGGTCACCACTAGCATGTTTGAATACAAAGCACTCAAATACAGGAGTTATACAACAAATGCAGTATCCAAATGACACATCTCCAATATCAAACGTTACGGGTTTATGCTTATTGTGTGGAAGGTTGTTTGATTTTCTCGGAACGTGGTTACTTTAAACAGCTGTTAGACGTTTTCAGATCTGCAGCAACATTCCGAGAAGTTTACCGCTTCAGCCACCAGATTTCGGTGGACGCAAACTATAAATGGACGCTGGAAGTGTACGAGATTGATATGTAACCAGTGTACGGAAACCTGAGTAACTCTTACAAGTCCCGCCCCACAAAATACTTTCAATACGTCTCATACCGCTTTCAATGTGCCCAAGCGTTGTCACTTCTATCCCAGAGATGCAGGTGTCTCAGAATAATAATCATCCTTCACCTCGGAATTCAAGATGAGTACCAGGTTCTTCCTTAATACCCATGCTTCACCTAACAACAATTAAGTGGCCTTTTTTCGTCTATGGTGAAGGTGAAACTATTGTTGTTGATGATGATGGTAATAGTGATGATGACAATGCCATTCCTCCGTCGTTTTTTTCGTGTTACTTAGAATTTCAGTGTTCCTTTTCATGAAATCGCCGCTACCGATAGGGCAATGCAGCACAATACAGTACATACAATGAGACGAATAATGTTCAAGCATCTGACAATACCACGAGCCTCTATTGCTATTATCATTTTCGTACTGCTCGTAACAACTCACGAGCTAGTGGGTTGATGCAGAGAAAAAATAAAGTGAGCCGACATTAAACCAAGTAAGACTGCGAGTGAGAAACTCTTTTGGTATGTGCGCGGGTTTTAACTTGCTAGACGACCGATTCTGGTAGCGAAGCTCAAAATTGTGGGGGTCCCTATCCGGGAAATTATATATATATATATTCAGATGCCTAACCTGACATCCTCATGCTTAAGTTGCATGAAGGCTTAAGCGTAAAATCATATCCCGTCAACTGCCGGTTTCCATATCACTACGCGGTTTTGTTTTGTTCGGATAAAACGCCCCCTTTGGTTGGCACCTTACTGTTTCTCTCAAA